TATGGCACGTGCAGTCACTGAAGAGCGACGTAGCTGGTTTTAAAACTCAATGTCATATCTACTTTGGAATGGTGGCTGATCGGGTCAGCAAACTCGGTCTAGGGTGAAATACGATTATAAATTCTAAATATTCCACTTACCAGGGCCACAACATACTAAACTCGCCTGCACGCGGTGCACCCTGCACATAACGAAAGGGGTTCGGTTCTGGCCACACTTTAACTGAGTATTTCCAAGGAAGGTTGACGTTAGCCAGGCCGGTCATAAAACACCATGTCAAATCCGTTTACAACGCGTATTCACATAAAATACGTGTTGTGCCGACCTCACCTAGCGTGAGATAAGGACAGGAAGAAGAAGAAGAAGATTAGTTGCGCCAACTTTTGTAATAAGTTGCCATGGTAGTCTATAATTTTTTTATTTTGCCTTAAAATGATTTTTGTTAACAATTTCGAGAAAAAATTAAAACCCATTAATTTTTTATGCTAAAACTATAGCAATTAGGGCTTTTTTATGATGCATTGTGATCATTAGCTAGACTATTTGGATTACCGTCACAAAATATAGACCAGTAAAATTGGCCAATTTATCAAAAGAATGCGTGTTTCTGAAAAAAAATGGCGTCCGATTGGTTTAATGCAGCTTGTTCAAAGCATGTGCTACAGAGATTTTGGAATTTATTAGTTCTATCTTAACTCCCATTATAAATTCGTCGTTCTTAATCAACACTTGTGATCTTTTTTGGTTTTTAATTTTGTGTTTTAATTTGGCTTCTAAATCAAACTTTGTAAAGTGCTCAGAAAACAATAGATTCATACACATAACAAAAATAAAATTTGCAGTGCAGGTTATTACAAGATTATATCATGCGATTTTTTAATGAGCTGTCACAGGGATCATCCTAGAGAACAATTGTAGTTAGCTCAGAACCAGTAACATTATTAATATTGACGGTGACTGTCGTAGTCGATCAGTAGATCCAATGTCCATACAATATTGCCCGTAGTTCAACTAGTTGGACTACACAGTTGGACCACGGGCAATGAATGTCCTAGAGATCACAAAGAGAAATAACATTTTGTATACGTTTTCCGCGATCTCTAGCGACAACTGTCATTGGAAACTTATGGTAGAGTTTTTGATGTTGTTACTTTCTCCGTATAGTATATTGTTTCCTTTATGTAGTAATAATATTATCATCCAAATGTCCAATGTAAAATTGGAATCGTGTCACGAAGAATAGTGTCAAATAAATCTATTGAACAGTTGAGAGACTAACTTACAATGACGTTTGAATACTAGACAGTCCGTGTCTAGGCAATTTGCCGGATGAAGGGCTGAAGTAACCATACTATATTGTTTGTGTCAAAGCTTATTTGTTGTTATATAGAATCTGAAAGGTGTTTACAGACTTGCTCGATTTTCGACGATCGATTTTGGCGCTTGATACGGTATATTTTGACTATGAATAAGATTAGGTTATAGATTTGTTCGATTTTATCGATTGTTACTGTCTAGGACTGACTTGGCAATACTGCCCGCCTATAGCGCACCGTCTCCAGTAAAATTTAAAAAAAACTAAAACAATCAAACCCGCTTCACGAAACGGTCGCCGCCGTCACACATGTTTCTAAAAAATGTATTCTCGAATGATATAAATTAATACAATGCACTATCATTTTATTTCCACTGGGTCTAAACAGTTACTATCGCTTGTCGATCGACAAATATCAGGGTTAACATCGAACACATTTGTAATTACGCCTAATTTAATTTCACAGTGTCGATCAACAAAAAAAGCGCTGTTGATCGTTTATTGTTTACTGAGGCACATAAATTTTAGTGAGCCAAACTGTGTGGAACGAAGGCGACGGCAGCTGCTGGTGGTGTATATGCGCGCACCACCATGTTAAGAGAAGCGCCGCCTGATCATAATCAGGTCCACCTCATTATCAATCAAGTTTATGAACTTGATTGATAATGAGGTGGACAAATTTACGTGTCCTCTGAGTGAATTCACAAAGGTTGCTTCATTTATCCGTAGTCATAAGTTAGATAAATAATAAGTATCTTAACTTGTAAATATTAATTATATTGTCTAGGCTATCGCATTAGGTCATAATCTGTAATTATAGTCTAAGTATGGCTTAAATAAATAAAATTCAAATATCTTCCTCTTGTACGCATTTGTTGGTTTTGCTAAATGCGTTTTCTGTCTGTCTGAGCTCTTACGTATTCCGGGACAATGCTATTGTGATTGGAATCAAATGTTTATTATTATTTTTAAATGTTTAATATTTTATTAGGTCTGCGTGGAATAATTTATTGTTTTCCATTCGAGGTTCTTGTGAAAGAGTTCGTCTGGGGTAGTACTGCCACCTTAAGTCACAGTAATGTCTTATGTCTCAGTTGACGGTTGCAGTGGTAGTGCCCTTCAGATCTTTGCAATTTAAAGCTCTGAATGGCACGATAACTGTTATGGACAGGACTGTAGCTTACTATCTGGCGCACGCCTTGTTCGTCCCGTCACGTAATGTTATAAAAAAATATATTATTTTATTTATTACCCCAAAACACTCAAGTGTTTTACCTCAGCATAAACATGCAGCGATTTTAGATTACGTAAATATTCCGTTTTTCAACGGAAATTTAATACACACATTGGCACATTTGGCGGAAAATAAAGAATTATCTTTATGTAGAAACGTTTGTATTTAAATAAATAAAAATTAGACATAAAGTAGCAATTACGTAACGAAAAATAACATAGACTTTGTCGAAATTAAAATTCTAACAGTTTAATATTGATTAACTCAAAGTTTCACTAAATAAAAACCTTTTTCAATTTAAAGTATAAGACATTTACAAGAAAACAAAGTCAACCTCGATCCATTTGACAACCTTGTATTAGTAAGAAATTAAAAGAAATGAATGAAAGAAAAAAAAAGACAGTCGACTAATTTCTTTTAAATTAGACTTAAAAGAAAAAAGTAAAATAACCCGCGAGACTTTTGCAAAAATACTGTTATCAGTTTGAAGATGTGTACATCACCCTATTTTTTATTTTTCAGGAAAAATACGCAGGCACTTCATATTTCTACACGAGACTATTTTTAGGAACAAAGTATGCCTGGAATATTATCAGAGAATGAATCTGATAGGCATATTAGTGTAATTATGGTGCTTATTTATTACGTCATTAATTTATGTTTCAATGTTTTAGGATACTCTGATCTTGGTGTTCTGCTACCAAATAATTTAAAAAATAAAATGTAGAAGATATTACGTTTCGTTAACTATTCATTGTGAGAACACCGCCATACTACTTGTGACTTACTAGTAGTTACGTACTTATGTTGATACTAAAATTATTGTATTGCTTATATATTATGTATTATTGATGTAGTGCTTATTAAGTTTTTGGGTTTTCTCGAGTGCTACACATACAAATAAATCTATTTTTTCCACATCTATTTGTATTTTAATCTATCCAATGTTTCAGGCTTTTCACAGGTCTCAAAAACCGACCTCAAAGTCATCCATCCCCTAGTTTGCCACCCTTAGAGGTGGAATAATTTACCTACCTTTCCAAAAAAAGAATCATCAAAATCAATTCACAAATGCCGGCCGGAGTTATCGCGTAACATACATACAATGTAATCAGAAGAGCTCCTTGTGAAAGAGTTCGTCGAGGGAAGTCCTGCCGCCTTACCTATTTCTGCCGCCAAGGAGTAATGTCAGCATTACTGTGTTCCGGTTTTTAAGGGTAAGGGTGCTGGTGAAATTACAGGCACATGGGACTTGTCAACTTATGTCCCAGGGTGACTGGCGCAGTGGCAGTGCCCTTCAGATCTTTGCGATTTGAAGCTCTGAGTGGCACTGCAACTGTTATGCACAGGCGTATAGCTTACCATCAGGTGCACGACTTGTTCCTCTCGTCACTTGATATTATATAAAAAAAATGCAGTTGAATTGAGAACCTCCTTCTTTTTTGAAGTCGGTTAATTATCACGGCTGTAAATGGTTTGTTTCAAGAAACAAAAATAGTTTCATATTCATTAAAAAACGCTATGAAAACAAAAACGAAATCGAACAACAATAAGAACAGCGTCCATCAAATTTGACAGTCAGGTTGAAGTTCAGCGGATCCTATACTCTAATTATCTTTTTAAACTCATTTAACTTTATCAATTGAAACATATGTGTCGAAGGATGGACTGATTTTCAGGTTAGATATTGCTCAAAAAATGCGTTGCGAAAAACCCAATACCTGTCCTAATTGAATGTTTCATATCTATACTTGATAAGCCTACCTTATAATCTACTTCATCGAGTAGCCAATAAAGCAGTGAAAACAACGCAATCAAGTGATTGCACTTAATAACTACGAGTGCGTCAAATTTGGGTCAGAAAGAGATAGTTAGGGAGTGTGTGACGCTGTCTCTTTCCCGCGCTATTCAAGTTGGAAATCTGTGTTGCGAATGGACGATGAACGTAGGGCGGGATTATAGAGCTTCAGTCTATCAGAGCTGACAAGTTTAGTGAAAAGGTCTTCCAATAAAAGTATACCCATTAACTTTACAACTATGCTACTGTGAATTCAAATAGTTGTATTGAAAGTTAAACGTATTTGTTATTTTAACGGTTTCCGTAAAACGTAATGTATTTGTCAAATACAACAATTTATTATAATTTTAATTCTAAAACGTAAGCAACTTTCATTTGTTTTATATTTTAAACAACTGGATTTAAAACACTTGGTACTTGAACTAACTTATAATTCGTTTTTAGTAAATTATTTAAAAAAAATTAACGTATTTTCTTACTTGGTCGCGATACGGATAAAGGTAAAATGAAAATTGCTAATAAACTCAATTAGATTTTTCAATGTTATTGCAAACAATAATGTAATCAAAAATTAACTTTAAATTGAAACGATAATCAGTAGATTAGTCACTCTTTGAGAAATTAATTTGATATTTCAACTCCTTTACGAGGCCGTTCGTCAACAGTTAGTCAATGAATAGTTAGTACCTTAAGAATATTAATTCAATTTGAGTATTTCCTAAAACACTTCCTACCGGCCCACGCATCGTGTCGAAAATACAATCAAGTGTGTCTACTGGATTACTAACTCTATGGTTAGAGTTTAAAAGCGAGGGTGCGGGCGGTCCGCGCGCACTCTACATACCTGCCGCGTTATGATCTGACCACTGGTACCACCGCAGTTGTACCACGAGTAATAAAGTTGTAACACCAGTAACGTAGTTGTATTGCCGGTTACCAAGTTGCAGTTTCAGGAGTTTCGATAGAAGAATTGCTGTAAGTTATTTCAAGTTTGTTTTAAAAAGTTTTATTAGTACTTTTTAATGTTGTTTTTTTGTTCTTTTTTCGGATGCTTGTTATTTAAGGGGTTAGGTTTAGAACTATATAAAGAGTAAAATAATGTAAAAGATTACTTCAAAAAGTTTTATAAAAAATTACATTAACGTAAGAAAACTTTTTAATCTATGAAAAAGTTAATATATTTAATGATACAAAAAATAATGAAGAAGATAATGTAATTTAGAAAGTTTAACTTTATCGAGTTCTTAGGTTTTCGCGATTGTTCGCGAGACACAGGAATCAAACTTTCTGGATTTAAATCCATTATTATCCGAATTAAAGTTTAACATTTTTGTATAAAAATATTGTTCTCCTTATAACAAACAAATTAACTTCACAAAGTTTCCATGTCCACGTAATAACTGCAAGAAATAAAATTAAATTTTTTAGTTTTTTAATTTAATGGTAAAGAATCAACTCAATTAAGTCAAAGCCTTTCAAAATTATGATTACTGAAAAAATGAAAATAATTTCATTGCAACCGCACAAAAAACATTTTCAAGCCATGGAAAAAGAGCATTATGTGTTTAGACAATCGACTTCAATTGCTTTATTTCGACTTCCATAAGTTCCACTGTTGAACACGTGTCCCAATTAATAAGTCGAGAATTCAACTAATCTTAAATGCAATTGTTTAATATTTCTTCAGACAATCGACTCAAGTTGCTTTATTTCAACTACTATAAGCGGCACTGTTGAACATGTGTCCCTAATAAGTCAAGAATGCGACTAATATTAATTGCAGATCGTATTATATAGTGTAAACACGTAAGGGGGACACGTGAGGTCCACTGTATTAAAATGACGAGCTGGTACAATTTTGCTAAACTTTTTTTCATAATTAAGCAAACAACACTTGAAATCGTCATATTGAATATACTTTACTATTCATTCATAAGGCAGATTCCCCTGAGAAAATAGAGTAAGAAGCTATAAGAGTTGTTCTTTGTAAATAAACAGTTGTGCATAATTTATCATAATACAATATTTATTTCAAATATCCATTAATCGAGACAAATTAGAAGAACTTGTCATCCAAATACGCAGAAGTTGTATAATAACTTATAGAGTGTAAAACGTTTTTGTTTTACTACAGTTTTAAATTGCATTTTTTTAATACCAACCGGATTCTTATTATTACGTATACATTGCCTCTTTAATGAATTAGTGACTTGGTGAAGACGACTGTTGAAAACAGTTAGTTTGTTTTTAACCGACTTCAAAAAAGGAGGATATTCTCAATTCGATTGCATGTTTTTTTGTATGTTACGCGATAACTCGTGAACTAATTGTGATGATTCTTTTTTTGTTGGAAAAAAGGTGTCTCAGACGTGATCTCATTTAAATTGGAAGAAAATATTCCACCTCTAAGGGACAACATTTGGGGTAGGATTTAATACTGATTCCGTTATTATTCCTAGTATTCATGTTATGTTTGTTACTGTTTTCCATAAAAACGAAAACTATTCTACTTAGCATTAACTGAGTTTTCGTAAATTTGCTGTGACGCCAGTGTAAGAATGTTAATTTCTTTAAACTTTCAAAAACTGTTGGGGCTAGATTGTAAACTGCCCTAACAGCACGATTTTGCAGGGTAAATATTCTATTAATATCAGCGGCATTACCCAAAAGCAAAATGCCGTGTCTTTAGTGGTAGAACTAACTGTAGTCTTTCAATTACCAGGACGATGACGCACCCGATAACATCAAGGTTGTCCAACGACCAAAATGAACAGTAATCCTATAATTATAAATCTAAAATAAACTACATTAAGAATCAGAATACGCTCAAACTGTGTCTAAAAATAGGTATTTTAATTTAACATTCTTCTATATTAAGTTTTATCATGATATCGAATTATTTTTACTGACATGCTTGCTCCATACTATCTTCAGCATACCAGCAAAAGGGCTGGCTATGCATCTACAGCCTTTGGAGTCGAAGCCCTTAGCCCATGGGGCCCCGATGTCTTGTTTTTGTAATATATAATATAATAACGGGACGAACAAGTTGTGTTTTAAATCGCAAAGATCTGAAGAGCACTGCCACTGCGCCCGTCATCATGAGACGTAAGTTGATAAGTCCCATGTAGCTGTAATTTCACCAACACCTTTACCCTTCAAACCAAAAAATAGATAAGGTGGCAGTACTTCTCGGGACGAACTCTTTCACAAGGACTCTTTCATCTGTACAAAATAAAAAAAAATACACTGTCTGCATAGCCATACAAAGGGGGAACGCTGCCAGCATCTTAAGCACCAGTCCGCGAGGACCCAATTTTATTCATATAATTTAACCTAATTTTAATGTCAAATATTTGTCCTTATATTGTACCTTACCTGTATACTTGAAGTTATTGTCTATTAAATAAAATATTTCTATTAAAACCACTCCACTAGTTTCTTATACTTATTAATACAAAGAAATCTTAATTCAATCGGGCTGGATTCGAACCACCGCACCGCCTTCATTATACCGTGGTTGACGCTTTCCCAGCTGAACTACGGAACGAACCTGCAAGCCCTACGAGCCTTTCTTCGTGCTCGATCTTTCTATTAATAATTATAATAACGTTATGACTAAGTTGAATATAAAATTATGTAATTCTAGTGACACTATGACCTTTCAACTACATTATAACTCATAACACATTCTAAATCAAATATTAAAAGCAATGTACTGTCTTGTCCAATAACAGTGAATGTGTGAGTTGAATGTCTGTTGTTGTGGGTGTGGTAAAAAGGTATTATGAGAAATATAATTATCAAAGATAGTTAATAAACAAGTCTTAATCAATACATGAGTGTGTGAAGTTTTTCTATGGCGTTAAAGTAGCAGAATAACATAACACATACTTGAAACATGAGAAATTGTGTCTTAAAAGTAACTCACAGTTTGCACTGTGGCCATTGCAGGAGAAGGTCCTGGGTTCTGGTTCCGGAAGGATCAGCTTTTTAAATTGATTCTGGTTTGAGTGTGTAGTAGCACAGGTATTAGCATAATTGGAGACCAGGTAATTTGGTGGGATTGATTAGCACTTTATTATTATAATGAAGTGACGGAACGAACAAGTCGTGCGCCTGGTGGTAAGCGACACGCCTGTCCATAACAGTTGCAGTGCTGCTTAGAGCCCTTCAAAATAGGAACGCAATTACCTTGACCACAGATTCTCAAACTTTTGGGTTCACCACCTGGACTGCATCAACGCCCCCAAATTGCTGCGGAGGCCCCTATCGCCCTCCTAGGACTCTTCAGCGCCCACTGTGGGGCGGAAGGGACGACCACTTTGGGAAACTATGCCCTAGCCCTAGACGAACTACATTTCTACCGAACAAAAAGTCGTAGGTAATGTTGCTACATTCTACATACCAAACAAAAAGTTGTAAGTAATGTTGCTACATTACCTACGACTTTTTGTTTGAAAGAGTTCGTCCAGGGAAGTACTGCTGTCTTACTTATTTCGGCTGCCAAGTGGTAATGTGACCATTATTGCGTTCCGGTTATTGAAAAAAGGCGCATGGGCAGAGTGTCGGGCGTTCGGTGCCCCTCAGATCTTTGTAATTTTAAGTTCTTAGTGGCACTGTAACTACTATGGATAGGTGTGTTGCTCACCGCCAGGCACAAGACTTCGTTCCGCCACTTGGCATTATAAAAAAGAAATTGTTCTGGTTTGGAAGATCTGAGTTGTGCTCTAGAGTGAATTCCATTGCTATGGTAATCTCATACCTAAATAGAGACCAGATAATTGGTGTGGCAATCTTGTATATTATACACATAAATTATAAAAAATAATTTGTAAATTTCTTAAAATTATTTATTATGGCGAACAATCTTAATTTTCCGGATGAGCATAACATAAGAACATAAGAAGAGTATAACATTGTTTGTGGTGACATTTTCGAAATGCGAAGTTTTGTTTTTTTTTAATTTAATATTTTTTTAATTTAATATTAATTTGTTAATTTAATATTTTTTTTCTCCTGTACTTTAATCTGTCAATCACAATTCCATAAACCATATCACAAGAGCGCACTTCTTGTTTCTGAATCGAAATTCTATTGTCTATGGTACGCAGAACTATTTATTATGAGTTTCAAAAAAAGAACATCGTAGTTTTCCTAATTAAAATAACAAATATGACGTTACTCAAACGCTCTACTTCCTCTTGATTGGTTGAATTATATTGTTATGCAACCGGACCTTAAATCTTTATATATATAAAAAAAAATTGGTTAAAATAAAAGCGGTGCTAGGCCTGTTCTATTCTATCTCTTTGGTTTTTTGTTTTGTAGCGGTTGTTTGGCTTTCATTTGATTTTTGTTGTCATGGGTTGTTAAAAAATATATATGCATTAAATATTAGTCATGCTTCATTATTTAATTTACCCGTACAAAAAATATTGTATACAATAATTACTTAATTAGGTCTTAATACTGTGTGTGTGATCTACCACTAGATGGCGCTGCCATGGCTGGGTCGGGCTGAAAATCAGGGTTGAAATCATTACAAACTGATTTGAAATTTTTTCTGAGCTCGTGTCCGTCACACACATACGTTATTCTTTTTATTTTGATTTAATTTTTTTTTAATTATTACTGTTAAAAATTTTGTAAATTGTACAAAAAAATCTCGTTTTTTTGCTGGTTTCTATATATTTTTTTGTTATGTGTGTGAAAATAAATGGTTTAAGTGGTTTAAAACCTCGATACTCGACTTTCAGAACTCCCATTATGCAAATATTCCATGAATATCATAATCATTAAACCACTGAGAAAATACTCTACTAGCTTATTATTATTATCGAGACTTATATTATATATCATAATTATTTATAAATTTTGATAATATCTTTTCACTTGTCATGTTATGCACCGCTGTTATTTATTCCGTACTCAGCTCTCCGGTTGACTACTAGAGAATGCCTAATGGTAATAAG